CACACACACACACACACACACACACACACACACACACACACACACACACACACATACACACATACACACACTCACATACACACGCATATACAGCATAATCAATACCTTACCCTTCCCGAACCACATAAATAAACGAACTACGGGCTGCGCACCCGTGCCCTCACGGTAAGTCAATCTCCCATGTGGGCAGATTCACGTACGCAATAGGAGGCAAGGAGGCGAGGAGAACGACTCGGCCTCTGCATGACCTGACCTTTGTCTCCCATATGCGCAGATTCACGTACGCAATGAGCTCTGCGAACGGACGAGGGCTGGAGGGTGCTGCACGGGAAACTTCGCAAGTTGTCGTGACTGGGCAGGCTCACGTGACTTATATGGTCACTGGACAGAGCAGTGGGACCACTCGGGGTGGCAAGACTGCTCCAGCCAGGGTGAGTGTCGCCTCATAAGCCATCCCGCCGGTGATGTTGTCAAAGAAAGTAGTCCCATCGTAGAAAAATGCAGTTTCTGGAGAAGAAGGGATTTCAAAAATTGTGTTAGCGTAGATGCAATAATCTGACAGCACTGATAAAACCTTGACGAAATGCGAACCGCTGCTTGAGGGACCAACCTAATTGTCCCAGTAGTTATGGGATCCTCATGCATTGATAATCGCCGAGGCAACTGACGACGTTGATTTCATCGCGCAACTGCAGGAGTCGTTGTAGTTACTTTGCTTCATAGGTTTGTTCCACATAAAATAGTAATATTGAAAAGACATGGATGATGCAAGATTGCACAAAAGCGAGTCAGGAAGGTGGGCCGCAGACCCACACATTTCCTAGACCGCCCAACTCCCTTCATCGTCCCACACGTGACGTTGTCATCCTGCAGGGAATGGTGGAACGAGCGGATGAGCGATGGCAGCTGGAGGCAGAAACGTGCGACACGAGAAGTTGAAGGAGAGTACAAGGCCGGTCTTGAGTGGAGTAGTTCCTTGATAGGCGAATTTGGAGCAGGTCGGCGAGGAATAAGTGGGATAAAGAAAATACTTATTGCGTTGAATGAATAATTGGAGCTGAATAAGAAGAAGTTGGATGACATGCTCAAATCTAGATGTGGCGTTTATAAGTAGCCAATGGCTGGTGGAGGTTGAGGGTCAATGTCAAACATCAAATGCCAAAGGTCATCCACTGGTTTCGCCGTCCACTGTAGATGTAGTGGTAAATTGCTTGAGTGGTTGCTTCCAATTGCTGAGAAGGGACGGAGATGGGGATCCATGCCAAAATTGTAGGGTGAAGGTTTTCCAGAAAGCGTATCAGGAGTACTCGCTACATGGGGGAGTTATCCAGGAAAGTGTTAGGCCACAACATTGGGAAAAACTAAAAAGGGTAGTAGATTATATAAGGTGCAAACTGCGAATACTGAAAGGGTATCCTGAAACACAGGTTTACCGAGATGGTGAGATGTTCCTATACTTGTGGGAGAGTTGGCAGCGACTCGGATGCGGGGAGGGGTTGAGACGACAACTTAAGGAGATAGATATGGAGAAGGAGTTGTGTGTCCAAGGTATACAAAAACAGATTGTCAGGGTGGGAGGTTCTTGATTCGTTTACGGGATCCCAGAGAAGCGGAGGATACATTTTGGGGTTGGTTACCGGATATGATTGGTTGTTATGAGAGGATAAGTCAAGATATAATGAGTGGTTATCTGTTCAGACCAATGTGTGGAAATGGGTTGTTAAACCACCAGTACTTCGCCCAGCTATTGATGTCGAGCTTGAAATCAACCTGCGCGCTGCTTTTTTTCGAGTCTGTAGTGGGGGGAAATCGAATTGGAACATTTGTGGGCTGGCACTGGTACCGCCCCTTATTCTGGACATGCTGCAAGAAGGAGGAACGAAACGGGTTGTAACTCACTAGTTTTCACTCGTGCAGGCGTGAGATTGCCTGATGTTGCATTGGTGACAGAACTTCAATGCCCTCCGTTTCTCACGGGGAGTCATTCAGATACTGCCGAGATTTTTTTTTTTCCTATTGCAAGGGCGAAAATAGAAAAAAACGACATTCTAGGTGACGACCTTCAGTTTCATCAGTACATGGCAAGGATTTAGGGAGGATCCATTCTCGAGAGAGTTCTTTCTTGAGTCACATGAGATACAACTGAGGTTTTTTTTTTTTTTAATTGCAAAAAAAAAAAACGGTAGAAAAGGTGGTTGCACGTCCTCCTTCCTATTCATTAGTATATGCCCACAACTGAGGGAGAGTACATTCTCGAGGTAGTGCTTGCCTTTGGGGCACGCGAGATACAACCCAGATTCTTCATTTTTTTTCCTTTCTTTTGCAGCCAAAAAAAAAACGAAAACGGAAAAAGATGGATTCAGATTTATGACAGAAACTTGAATTATCCCACAATTGAGGGAGGATACAATCATTTTGGGAAAGTGCCTAAAACATTCATTTTGTGTCAGACACTTGGACGCTCTCCGTTTCTCACGGGGAGTCGACATAGAAACTGCCAGAATTCTCTCTTCCGTGGGAAAAAAAAAAAGGAAAGCAATGAAAACGCCACTGACCTTAGGTTGAAACTGCATCCAGATACATATGTCGAAGTGTTATCATAAAAGTGTTATGCCAACTGTACTTTTCCTTTATTCTTTTTTTTTGTCCTTTTCCATTTCACGTCCTTGCAAGTTTCTTTTCTTTTTCTTTTATGACATTGCACACAGCGACGTACATGTTTCCACATGCACGGAAATCCAAGAGAACATAGTGTAATCCATTGGACAATTTTCCTTGGGCCCGCCACCTTCCTCCCCCATAGCACTTCCAACCCTCCCCCGAGCCCCTAAGAATGCGGTGTGTTAACGTGGAAGGCCCGCGACCGATGTATGGCC